TCGTGAGCAATATGGACCGCAGAATCCCCGTCGTTCAAGCAGAGCGCGTAAACCTAAGATGATGTTCTCATATTAGTATTAAAGTTTATGTTCCTCCCATTAACATTGAACTTTACACTTAGTGGGGAGGTGTTGTGCACTGAGAATTAAGTTAACTGTTAGTGTGCCACCTATCGGTGCATCGTCGTTGACGACCATCTTACAATACAGAAAGTTTGCTGTGTTTTTGTTTGTGTTGTTTGAGTTCCGGAATTAAAGTAACTCACGCTGTTTAAAACCTATGTGTGTTATTTATTTATTGTTCTAAAACCTTCCAAGAACATAACATTTTCCAAAATATTAGAGTAGCTTGGGTGATGTTAATTTCATTATGTCAAGGGTATGTTATATATATATATATTGTTGCATTCAATCATCCATTTTTGTTAATTCAGTTAATATTCATTTTCGAAGAAAAAAAACTGTTAGGGGCCAACAAAGAAAGATTTTATGATTGAAAATGGTAATATTGTGCTTTTAGACTCTGATATATAAACCTTCACGATAATTTTGGTTTGTTTTAGAAAATTAATATTTTTAGTCTGACAGTACCAACACGAGTTAAATAATAGGAGTTACAATAATTAATTAATATTCTTTTCTTTAATATAATTTGTTTGAATGTGTCTTTATACTGTTTTCCCTGAACCATGGTTGAATAATAATAGTTTAGCAGGGTTAAGCAGGGCAGGGTTCATCCCTGCTCAGCAGGGGCACTGCTGGTGCCAAAACTGGTTACAAGCCCCATTAATTAATTTATCATAATTTTTAAATTTTTATTTACATTTTTAAGGGAAACAAAACACAATATAGTTTTGCATTGCAATATTTCCATATTGTTCCAGATTAGGCCTTACGTTGCACCCATTTTTTCTTTATAGCAATTGAAGGGAACTTTTTTGATGGAAATCTGACAATTGCAAGGCGCTGGTAAGATTTTTATTTGGTTTTTATAGAAATAGTGTTAGCATCAAGCTTTTTAATTAACAGCCATACAAAGCCCTCAAAATTAGGTCGGCAAAAATAAAATGAAAATCACCGGCGCTATAAAATCAACGCTGGCTATACGTCGGCAGTTTTTAGTTTCTGCTTAAGCCCTGAAATCAACCCATGCTGACCTGTTATAGCTGTGATTATGTCTTTTCAAGTCACCCAATCAAGCTGGAAAGCCTAGTCTACGTACTGATGTTCAAATTCACAACTAATTTTTGATAAAATAAAATTTAAACTTCTACAAACCGAACAAACAGTTAATAAACAATGATTTCCAGACGAAATAACGCAATAATCATCCCTGTCTGTTAATTAACAACTAGGCCTAGCACAACACCATGTGAATGACTTGTCGTACAGCTAGCTCAGTCCCAAAAGCATTGCCATAGAGATTATCTATTGATTAAAATGACACACCAGTAAGCCAATCGTTAATGTTAGATTATGTGAAAGTTAATGTATGCCTTCCATTGTTTATAAAGTGCATTATCACCTAGGGCCAATCCTTAAAAATCGATTTCAATCAATTCCTGAAATGAAGTCGGAATTTCAAGTTCCGACTTCTACGATCGCTGACTCTTTTCAGTAGAATTTTCGGATTCGGATGTCGTAGATTCATCGCTGTAAAATTACAAATGCATAGATACTCATTCCTCAAAAACATGTTGCTAATTACGGAGGAAATTTGTAGAGAATGAAATTCTTTTTAGATTAATTTAGATTAGATTGTTAAAAAAAAACCACAAGGGTTTCTTATTTATTTTAATAAATCTGTTTAATTAAAAATGAATCAGTTTACAATGAGCTTGTTCGTGTCTGCAAGACATCCATGACCCACGAAACAATTAACCAATTAGTGGGCAGAGTTTAGGAGGCACAACGTAATGTTTACATGAAGAATGTGTTGTGTTAAAAAAAAAAATGTCAGACCGAAAATGCATGTAAAAACAATATAAAAGCATGAAACACACAATCCAGTTTGTTTTTATTCACATTTTCTCATAATACAACATAAAAAGACATTAAATAACTTGCTTTTAATTAAGAATAAAGTTTCATATTGTGTTCACGGCGATCCTGTCGAGTCTACCACCACTGGTACTACTAGTACCAGCGTCGGCATGGGTTAGCTTTGGGCTAAGCCTAAAATCGTCACGTCAGCGATTTTTTCGTTGGCGTTGGCGGCTGGACGCCACCGTTTACATCAGTATTGCTGAATGTCGGCGTTAGTTTTGAGGGCTGCATACATTATAGATTGTGTCTGAACAACACCAGGAGGTATATTAAATTGATATCGAATTTTATTGTTGTATGCAAGTAGCACCTTAGATTCTAAGTATGAATGAATATTTTAAGCCATATATTTTTGTTTTATAGGCCCTACTGCTCTTGGACTACAGAAGAAAACAAGGAGGAGAGAAAGGATTCATTAGTGACACGACTTTTCCATGCTGTCTTGGAAAGCAAGCTGGACGAAGATTGTAAGATTATAAATATCTGACATTTGACGTTTAAGCCAGTATCACACATTGCAATTTGCTATGCCAGGCTGCACTTCAACACATCATGTCTATGACACAACATAATGTAACATTGGCGTATGCCTTCTTTACTTCTTTGGAAAATGTTCAAATGTGTTTCCGATTTGCATGCCTCCACTGTTGTACTTATCAGTAGACTCGCACCAACCACAGATACGCCAGCTGTTTGTACCCTTTTCACACTGTGCCTACCCACAAATCAGCATCATCAACTATTTTTTCTTCCGTTTCTTGCTTCAACAAACAGAAAATAATGATTTTATCCAAGGTTGGAGATTAAATGCACAGAAGGAGACTGAAGGTCATAATAAAATTTGAGGCTGAGTGACCAGCCCTAGATCTTTGCTCAGTTGATTAAACTATTGGTAGCCACTGGGTTTTTGCTGAGCCGTAAGGTCAGCTTGTTAACATTTTGGAGGCCATTGGTGCAACGGTTGTGGCTCTGACTCTCAACTTTGAGGATGCGGGTTCAAAACCTGCATTGTGCAAGTAGCTTGTGTCTTGCACAGGCACTTTATCTACATTTGTCTCTCTGTTCACCCAGGAGTATAAGTGGGTACCTAGGATCTAATACCAATGGTTTTTCTAGCTGCTTATATAATTGTGCTCCCCTGGGTGCTGAGGATGTATCCCATAGGTGCTTGATCCAGTGAGTGAGGGTAATAATGTACACTGCATAAGAGAGGCAGTTGATTGCAATATGCGGTATATAAATGTTGCATTTAATATTATTATTAATCACCTTTTTACAACTGGTTTAATTCTATCCGCTACTCTCCTTGTGTTTTTGTGTTTCAAAAAATTCAACGTCTTTCAGATAAGACTTTCAAGTTGCTGATCCCATATGCTGTATGACCCCTGTGCAAGTTAAAAAACACAATACACTCTTCAAAAAGGAGTAGTGGATTGTCTCCCTGTGTACTGTCCAATGACCACCACAAAGGCCTCACTGGATGCAAATAAGTGTTGCACTTTCATGAGTTATGTTCAAAAACTTATGCTACTGTACGTTTCCTTATTACTAGAAAAAAATGTATTTTATACAAAACACACCCTCCTGAGTGATCTTCCACATAACAGACTATTTTAGACAGATAAAAAAAACCCATAAAACAGCAAACGGCCAAATGACAAAATAAACTAAGCATCCACTGGAAGGAATCCCAATATCTGCAGACGGATCCATTTCGGCCTTCCAGGCCTCATCAGTGCAGCCAGGGTATAGTCCCAAACCAGCTTAGTCCCACGACCACTAATGATTACAGAGCCAAACCAAGGCAATATATATATATACACAGCCCAGGTGTGAATGCAAATAGTTGAATACAAGCTATGCGGCTCGGTTCCAGTAGGTATAAGAGACAGTATTTAAAAAACCAAAAAAGAAATATGAAAGTTTAGTTCCACTGAACATGAGTTACACTACAACATGAGTTAATATGAAGCAAGTCTAGGCCCTATGTCATAACAAACTAAACTGGGCCTCCAAGAGCCCTTGTTAATAATTTAGAATAAAGGAAATCTGTAAGAATTAATAAATAACCAGCCTTTTTTAAGTAATCTGAAACTCTGTAAGTAAAAGTTAGTTACCAGCTCATTGTCAGAGTTTCTTTATTGTTCACACTGTTAAAGTAGATACCTATAAATCTATAAACTATTCTATCAGATAAAATTGGTATTCTGATATCAGTGGCGTTTGCTGTTTAATTTTCTTTTCCGCATTCTTCTAGATAATGCTTTTTAAAAAAATCTGGCTTTTCTAAAGTGCTGGATTTTCATGATTTAATTTTTGGATTGTATTTTTTAGGTGATGCTGACATGATAAACCATTTATTATTTGATGTGAAAATCACAGAGAACATGCCTGAATATTGGAAGTCGGTTTACTCAGATGAGAACTATTCAGGGTAAGTCATAAGTATTGACTGCCGTCACTGGTACAGTAACTCTTAATTTTAGTTATTTTTCATTGTCTTTCTTTTGTTTCAACATGAACTTGGGAAATTAATTTTAGTATTTAGAAAATAGGTTTTAGTAGCAGTAGAAATGTTTATATTAAATGTGCTGGAAATATTTATGGTTTTTAATGGTGCACTTGGAGATATTAAACATGGTGGAAGTGTATATAAAGCATTTTTAATACCTGTTTATTTAAATGTTGTACCCATTTTCACAGAATTTATGTTAAAATCGGTACTGTTTTTCTTTAAATAATTTACTAGATATTTTTTTTAGCTACCGTAATTGTTTGTATATTTGGTACCTAATTGCTGGGTACATTAATATAAATAGAATAGCAATAATAATACTTAGCCCAGTTATTAACAACTACTTCAAAGTAATTTTATGTCTGTATAAATGTATCATTTGTCCTACGCCAATTGTTATGTCAGAAATGTTAAAATATGAAGAACTTGCAATCGTTACTGGCGATTGAATTCACCAACCAGATTGGTTTAGGTGATATGACACGGTGGTGGTTTTATGTGCACAATAACAAATACAATGTCTATATTGAGTATTTGATTGTGTTTTAATAAGGCCAAAAAAAAAATTTTTTCGTGTTGGCCACATTTTGGGAAAATCCAAAAATGGGTTGGTCGGTAGGAAAACTGTGTTTACGCTTAAAAAGTAGAAAGTACACAAATAATACAAAAATTTTGGATTCGCATCATTTACCATGCACCAAAATAGGCTAGGCCTTGGCAGCCCCCAGCTTAGTCTAAGGCTATTCCAGCCTTATTAGCTCATGAAAAAAAATATTTTTCCTTGTAGTAAAAAAAAAAATACCTAAAGTGCTGACCCTGAATTTTGTAAAATTTGGGTCAGTCAGGCGCAGCCAACACAATATTTTTTTTAATTTGGCCTAACATGTGCATGTGTTGTAGATTGTACTAAGCTTTGCACGCTCTTAATACTACTTTCACAGCTATTTCTGCTATCCTGGACCCCCATCCTCCTCATCATCCAACCTTACTACCCCAACATTATCATCTGTTGTCACTGAGGCATGGGACAGAATGACGCCTGTCTCACAGAATAAAACAGAGATTCGCTCTGCGAGAAGTGCAAGTGAAGAAAATATAGTTTGTGTTAAAATTAACAACCATTCAGCTACAGAGTAAGTTAGTGAGAAGCACACTCTGTGCACACAAACAGCCAACAAATAATTTTTTCTCCAATATAGTACATATAATGAAAAGTTTTTTTGCTTTTCCGTGTCCAACCCCATACAATTTATCCCTATAAATTCCTCTATTTAGTACTATAAATTCAATCTATGTTCTATTTACATAAATGTGCAAAAATGTACATCATGTTTATATGTTTAATTGTGTGATTGTTTTAAAAATATTGTTTAGGTTCTTTGTATTTTAAATTCTTTAAGTTTAAGTTCTTTTTGATTTACTTTATCAGATATATAT